ACCTCTCCAAAAAAAAAAAAAGTATTTTATTTAACTTTATTTATTTTTTAATTTTCATTTGACTAGAGAGGGACAGAGAAAGAGAGACAGAGAGAGAAAGTGAGAAAGCAAGCCCCCAGGTCCGGGACTGCCGTCAGCCATATGGGAGTCCTGCGCCCTTAAGTATCATGCCACCTGCCAGTCCCATGGAAGGTTCTTTTTTGACTATGCTCAGTCTTACATGAGAATGAATCCTCAGAACGCCATCTCAATTATTTAGGGGAGTCTACTTTTCCTTGGATCTTCTTCTTTTTTTTTTCTTTTTCTTTTTGGAGAGGTTTTTGCTATAGGGCGCGTGCACTCACCAGACAGAGAGAGACAGAGAGACAGAAAGTGAGAAATCACCCCCCAGGGGGGGTGGCCACACCTCAATCCCTTGTCCTCCATTCTCCTCTCGGGATCTTGGGCACGCACGCACATGCGCCCAACATGAGTTTTAAGCCACCGGGTCGAGGGACTTGAACCTCAGTCGATCAACTACATGTGAGTCCAGCGACATAGCCATTATGCTAACTGCTGGTCCCCCTTGGATCTTCTATCACAGCCACGGTGGGAACTCTCCTTTGGGACGCTGTCTAAGGGAGTGAATTTTCCTTGTTGGTGGTCTGACACAGATTTTTTTTCTTTTTTTTTTTTTTTGAGAGGTTTTTTGCTATAGGGCGCATGTGGCTATTCCGCAATCCCTTCTCCTCCATTCTCCTCCTCCGTTCTCCCTTCTCCATCTTGGACACGCACGCATACGCACCAGAGTGAGTTTAGGCCACCGGGTGTGGGACTCGAACCGCAGTCGACTACATGGGAGTCCAGCAACATAGCCATTATACTAACTGCTGGTCCCATTTTTTCTTTTTCTTTCCTTTTTTTGGGGGGGGGGTGAGATTTTTGCTACAGGGCACATGTGTTTGCAGGAGAGACAGACAGAGACACAGAGAAAGTGAGAAGTCTCCCTCCTCTGGAGAGGATGGCCTCCCTGCAATCCCTTCTCCTCCATTCTTGGGATTTGGGGCATGCAGCACATGCACTCAGTGTGAGTTTCAAGTGGCAGTTTCGGGACGTGAACCACATTCGACCATGGGGGAATCCAGCACTTGCCACCTACTTGCTCCTGTCTCAGCTTTTTTTTTTTTTTTTTTTTTTTTTCGGGGAGGATTTTTTTGTTTGTTTTTGTTTTTTTCTATAGGGGC